CTTCCTGATCTGCTACCTCCTATTTATGTGCCATTTCGCAAAATGCTTCGATCTATCATTGACCACTTTTGTCTATGCCCAATATCTGTGTTTTCTTTCTTCTTCTTCTCTTCTTATTCTTGAAAATACGTACGTTATCTACTTTATACTCCTTCTCGCATATTCCGTTTCCTCATTATCCATATACCTGTTCGCACGTATTAGCTCTCTGTGCTACTTCTTCTACTTAATCTACTTTCTTATCCTCTATCTTCTTCCGCTGGTTGCTACTCTTGCTCCTGCTATCGTTGCATGTCTTTCTCCCAACTCGCATAATATCCTTGAGTTCTAATCTGCTTTTTCTCTCCCAGTCTCTACAATTGCTTCTCATCCATTTCGTTTTCTTTACTATCCTCTAAAACCCCTTCCTCGAATCATTAATTCCCTGCTTCGTCCATATTTTCTGGTCTCCTTTGAGCTGGATACTATGACCTTCAATCGTTATTAGCCCTATTCTAAGATGGCTTACAATTCTTTACTCCGCAAAAAATCTCTTGACTTCCTCGCGTCTCCAATATTGAATTTCTTCTTACTCTCGCTCTCACATGCCACTTAGATTCATATTTGTCATAAACCTGCTGTTCTTGACTTAGATAAAATGTCTCGAACAATTAACCTTTGCTTACCTAGTATGTGTCTTGCTTTACCTAGCGTGTGCTATATAGGAAAAGATTAATTTGTTTGTAAACATCGTCTATTTTCCGGTTCTTGCCCTATACATCACTAGTAAAGAAGTTCTAATTTCTGCGTGTTTAACCCGTGTACAGTTGCAGGACATTACTGATGCCCAAGCATTTTTTTTTCTTTCTTTAATCGTCAAATATTTCAACGAAATTCTACTTTTCGTCGATTAATACTAATACTTCACTAGAGAGGCTAAAAAAATATGTTTATGACAATATTCTCGATAGTGCGCAAGGCGGGGATTTGTGGGTTCGGCTTGCGCTCAAAAAAACAAATTGCGGTGACCATGATAATGACTTTATAGGATAAGCCCCTATCTGTGCAGATAAAGTATTAATTGAGGAAAAAAAATCCAACCAATTCTTAGGAAAATTAAGCAAAAGGAAAGATGTTGTTCTATAACATGTGCGTCACGTGTTGTCAGGGCGCTTCATGAGAGGATAGGAAGATATGATATGAAAGATATGGTATATAGAGGGCATGTTAGTTGCTAAGTCTCAAAGTTGCCTGAACACACAAGGTTTTAGCTAGAGTTCCACAGGGAGTATGCAGTTTGACAGAAAATATTTCTTCTTTTCTAATAAAATGATATCAAGTCATAAGGCAACATAAGAAGCCTTTCTTGTACATGTCAAGTAAAGCAATTGTGAACTTTGCTGTATATTGGTTTCAGTAAAGACAATTCTCTACTTTTCTAGACAATTTTGAGAGCAATATATATATATATATGGATTATATATATAATTATATATTTATATATAGTATATATATAGTAAGAGGTATAATATATGATATAGTATATGGATCCATCAAATCCAAGAGAATCCAACTAGATTCAGAGTGTACATGTTGATTTCATTGCTTCAGGTATGAAGGTATAAAGTAAGTTCCGAAGAGATGGGATCCTAAAACGCATAAGAATTAGGTGTAACCCAATTTCCAAATTCTGAGAGTTCTAAAACTGGAAGGGAAGGAAAAGGAAAAAAATACTATTCACATAAAAATATACACAAATATGATAGTGGTAGAGAAGAATAGATAGATATATAATATATGTGAAGAATGAAAGTAGAGGATAATAAGAAGTAGTAATAATATTAAGTAGTAGTATATAATATAATTTTGTAATATAAATATGATTTTAATTAAATGAATATGAAGATCAAATGGGGGATGTGGACTCTCATTTGTGTTCAATGACAGTCCTATAGGTATGAAGTCTGGTTCACTAGGCAGAAATTGGGCGTATAAGGGCCAGAAGAGAGTACCTATGCTCTTGTGCAATAGAACATATACGATCATGCAGGAGGTAATATTAGTTAGGAATTGAGATAGCTTTAAATGTGGATTCAATGAATGCGTTTTGTATACAGGATGTGGAGGAAACGTTAAAGCGAAGAGCAGAACACCTCTTTTAGAAGAGAGTATCCAAGTAAAATTCATAACAAAGAGTTGACTTAAGGCACAAAACTTTTTTAAGCGGGAATAGTGGGACGGAGAAAACACCGAAAATCAGATAGACCAGCTTCCGAAAGTAGAGGTCGCCATGAAGAATGCTATGTAACGCAGGAACACCGTAATGGAATTATCTTACCCCTTTTAAGTACATCTTTCTTCTGCTTCTTACAAACTTTTGTGGAATTTAAAATTACACATTACAGATAACATACCAAATATCTTTAAATTTAAGAAGAGGGTAATTGAATGGTTTTACCTATTAACAATCAAAGTGTAAAGGCATGTCATTGGTAAGCCATCTTAGAATTGTGCAATACACATACATAGAACATAACAGACTACACCAGATGCACCACCACTCTCAAGTCACTGCCAAGCTTAGAGCTGCTGTTCCAAGAGTAACATTAACAATTCCCTTTACTTTATATCTTTATCTGTAAAGTATACAAAACGTCCAATTATCTGTTTCTCGTTTCCATCAAAAATGTATGTTTACTTTTTAAATCAAACAAAAAGAAAACCTTTTCCATACATATCCATTAAATTATTTTCAGTTTTAACTATTTTGTTTTTCAATCTTTCAAAGGACTTGCAATGTCTCCCCCATATAACCCAAATCAAGAAATCACAACTTGTCCTCACAAGAAAGCAAAGATGAAATCAAAGAGCCTCTTCATCTTTACCATAGCGTCTTTTCTGAACAGCTATAATGTCAGCTCAACTTCACTCGGCACCTTCTATACTTAAATCTAAAATAAAGCCTCACTATTAACCTTTAATGCCAATGTCCAAAGATCTTTGGAAGCATAGCCTCTAATAGTGCATGCAAATCTACAGAATGGTAAGATGGAATAGGATAAAAGGAAAAGAAGAATGTGAAGCGAAAAGTGGAAAGAGAAGAGCGGACGTAAATTGAAGCGGGTTAGACATAAAGAAGGGTGTATCATTAGCCTTGGAATATTTGACCTGGATGCCAGTGTAAATTTATGAGTTAAGTGAGCAGAATACCTGTCACAATGTGAGCTTTCGATGACTAATAATAAAGAGGGAAAGGGGTGGTACTCCTAACGCACCCTTTGGTTTAAGAGAGCATACAAATTGGTTGATCAAAAAATATGCTTTGATCCAGATTTGGATATGTGCGCCTTCCACGAGTATGATGCGCTCCATAATTGTGTAAATATAGTAAAGACACACATAAGCAGAAATCAAAGAGAAGAGGGAGACCGAAGAAAAGAAGGACTGAAACGATACAAGAATCAGTCACACGGCAGGTGTCCCTAAACTAAGGACAAACTGTTTAAAGATTATAGAAGAGACAATATAAAGAGATTGTCGTTATTATGCCAGACCTCCAAAATAGCTTAGCCTCAGATTAGATTACACATGTACCAGTAGGAGTACAATACGAATGATTGACCTCTCATATTAACAAATAGATACGAATGATACAAATAGGGCTCAATCGACAAAAAGATAAGACGTGAAATAAAGATGAAAATACTAGTAATTAGTTGGAGTTTTACAAATCCCGAATACTAATTGATTATTATAATGCCTTGTTACATATATTCTCTATTTATTTCCAAATTTCTCAACCAAAATCTGAATATATCATCCAAGAAATGTCATATGTATTTCACTGAAGCCTCACAGCTATGTGCTCTCTCACAACTTTATGTCACCTTATTAGAATATATCCAAATTCTCTCAGTTGTTTCCGTCTTTCAGATATATCTCTATCCTTATTGATTAAACTAATCATATAAAAGTAGCAACACCACACTATACACTAAAACCAACATTATACTCAAACACACTACCCAATATATCATGTGCACACAAGAAGTTAAAGGGAATAATAAAAAAGGAGTAAAAAAAAAGAAAAGAAGAATGCTGTTACGCAAATACATTTATAAAATATAATATACAATATGTGATTAAATCACTCAAATATAACCTTAGTATAATATACGCAATCACAAAACACCTAAAACGTTCACTAGTAGAAATAAAGCTAGTAACTCTTACTCGGTAAATACTTTAGCAAGTAAAGAAATAGTCTATCTATGATTCTCACTAAGCCTTTTGTTCTTTTATCTGTTTTGGCTTTCCAGGGGTCTTTGTATAGTTGTAGATGCGCTTGTGTTGTAGAGTTCTCTAGCCTCAGTGTGCACTGACAACTTAGATTTTATTACAATAATAATAAAAATACTTGTGTTAGTATTGCTATCAAGAATTACAAGCATCCTTTTCAGGCCTTAATTTATACCTTGGAAGTGGTAGACCCAATGCCTGTAGTTCAGTAAAATCGTTTTATACGTGCACATAAGATTATATCATATTCTATTTAATACGCCTTCCATCACAGAAATATCCTTTAGTATATTCAAATTTCAAATGTTTTTATATTCATAAGTAAAGAATTTGAGTTTTTTTCAAGTCAGATTCACAAAAAAATGTTAACCAAATACTTTCAATAATCACAGAAGAAAGTGTATTTAAACCTTGTTTTTTATGAGAGTATAGCATATATCTAATTAAATCATATCCAATGTAACTGTTTTTCATCAAAAATATATATACTATCAAGGTCAAGAGAAAAGTAAGAGTGCTTGCATGTGTATATCTTAAAACTCCAGAATCAGTTAGCAATACACTTCCTGATAGTACCTGTACAGCAATACACTTGAGCATGTATGCCTTAACCCACTTTTCCTTCCCTTCACTGACTCTGTGAGATCAAAATATAAAGCCAAAGCTCTCTTGATATGGTATTGGTATGACAAATCTTAGTGCTCTGTAAACTCATGATTTTATTTTTTTCTTTCTTTTATGGCTAATCATTTGTCTTATTCCCACCTCCAGTCAGTCATGTCTTGTCAACTAAGTCATCTTAGTGGATTACCATACTGTTAAAATTAGTAATCTAGGTATCTATATACAACATCAGCATTATATGTACTGCTTGCTGCCTGAGTCTATAAGGTAAGTCCAATGAAGTTTAATAATTTAAAGTGATTCAAATATATTCTAGGTATTTACATGTAACACATGGGGCCCCTCCCAATAAACTGGTAGAACATTAAGTAACAAGTGAGGATATTTGCAAACCACAACATTAGAGCCAGAGAAGTCACCTGTACTCTCTTACACTTTATTTTAAGTTACCTGTGTGATTACCTGTATGACTTCAATTCTTCATAGTAGTAATGCTATATTAGTATGAATAATTGAACAAAATATCCATAACATACCCTTGAATGCATCATCAATATTGATTATATAACATTAATTCTCTACATTTTTATCAATGTACAAATCAGGTTATCTATGAAAATATTAAAATAAAATAATATTCATATCCTCATTATCATACAAGCTTGCTTCTCTACTCCAGTTCCGCATGCGACTAGTGTGTAGGGGCCCTCACCACTATACAGAGAAAAATCTACATGTGTGTGCCAGCATCTTGAACTAAAGTGTTCACCAAGTGGTATATTTCAGGTAATATTCAACCTAATCTGCGGCACTTATTAAGTCTTACATTTAGGAACGGGTCATGTTTAGTCACAAGGATGGCTTTTACAGCATAACATTGCCACCACTAACACATGTAATTATCTGCTTATCTGCTTCAACAACACCCAAGGTCCATGCACAAGCTGCCAAGTATCAGTCACATCTGGTACTTAATTTTACCTGAAGGTTCTATCCTGTACTGGCTTAAAACTTTTTTTCATAAATTACAACTACAAATTAAACTTGATGGCTTTCATGCTCACCAAGACATGTTGCACTAGATTTTCACACCCCGTTATAAGTAATATACACTTGAACTTTGCTATCTTGAGGATGACTCATGACACTTGCAGGAGGCGCGTGAAAGAAGAGTGAGTTGAAGAGATGGAGGAGGATGAGGAATGGATGGAGTCACCCTCACGCACACAGGGACGAAGGTTGCCAAAGTCTGGACAGGACTCAAATGCTGAAGCAGATGTTGTTTGCTGAGCATCTAAAGCTCCGCAAGAATATCGATTAAAGAATTTTTCTCTTGATGCCTGAGGACGAGAGCCACGGAGGCGCACTAACTGTAAATCTGAGACTAAGGCGGCAACTGTTTCATTGCCTTCTGACGTTCCTGTGGGTCTTGGCAGTCCTGGGCATGACCGGGCGCGATAAAGGCCTTCTTCACCCGCAAAAGGAGGTTCACTTCGAGCTCGTCCAGTTCCTAGAGTCCCTGGCATGTGATCAGATTCTCCATGCAAGGGACCAGTCTTCAAACCTCGCACTGACTTCTCCTCCTGCGGCTGGTCGTCTTCCAGTGTGGTGACAATGATGTGTGTAGTGTGAACCTTTGGGCTGTTGTCGCTACTGCTACCACTCATGCCACTGTTGCTACTGTTCCCACTGCTGGAAGTACTACTTGGGCTACTAATGTTGCTTGTGCAGTCAGAGGAAGCATCACTTCGACCCAAAAACCTCAAACGCGAGGACATTGCAGCTGTTCGCCTTCTCAGTTCACCCATCTCAGAGTCCAGCAGCTGTTCCACACCGCGAAGTAGTTCCTGTGCCATCCGAACACCTACAAAGACAAAAGAAAAAAAGGTTTTGAATTGCCTGTTTTCACCTGAGGAAAGCATATCAATATCAAAACAAATTTAGTATTCAGCTTTCAGATTACCTTTCAAAAATATAATTAAGACAACAAAATCACTCACAGTAACACTGTAAGAATAGTCAGGTGTGTGAGCAAAATAAAATGCACTAGATTTGAAACTACTTGTATAAGTGTTTACTAGGATGGTTTGTAAAGGTTGGTTTAGTAAGAAGATAAAGATTAGGAAGAATTTAATTGATATATCTTATGAAAGTATGATAATGTCAATTATTGCTTTTTATGTATATATACTTACAAAATGAAAGATTACTATACATACCTTCAAAGCACCACACCCCACTAATCCAACCCACTGCACATTCAATCACAAACTATTATGCAAATACCATACAAAATGTTTGCAAAATGCTGACCCACAACACACAAACACACACCACACACACACCAACACCAACAAACACCACACAACGCCACACCACACGCACCACACCACACACAACAACCACCAACACAACCACACCACCACCAACACACAAAACCAAACACACCACCACAACACTACACAAACACCAAAAACACAAACCAACAAACAACACACAAACACACACACAACATACACACCACAACCACCACTTACCACATACACAACCACCACACACACACCAACACACACACACGACACAAAACAAACACAACAAACACAACACCAACCCCAAACACACACCAACAACCAAAACACAAACCACAAACACCAACAAACCAACACACCACACACACACACACCACACACACACAACACACAACTACACCACCAACACACAACACACACACCACACCACACACACACACACACACACATTCCCAAACTAACATAACACACCCACAAGCAACACAAGACACCAGACAAACAGACAAACACAGCAACACTCACACACATCAACACAACACAACATACACACTCAACACAACCACACAACACACACACACACAAATGCATGATATATCTGCACACTATAACACATAGTACAACATAGCAACCAACACAACACAGCTAACCACTATCACAACCTCCACTGCACACTACCACTCTCACGACCAATACCTGACCCCATCAACTCTTAATATTACTAATATCATATAAAGTTACATACTATATCAAATTACAAAAACAAATCCTTGCATCTCATTATGCACACCAACAAATAAAGGCACATACAAATACATATATGCTCAAAATACATCAACAATAATTGGACGGTTTCATTACCATATATTAAACTGCCAATCTCCAAACCTTGCACTTGCAACACAAATAAAACATAATTGCCCACAATAAACCACTAACACACACACACACACACACACACCATCCATTAGCCCACGCACCCCAACGCGAACATCGCATCACGCACACTCGCACAACGCAACATCAGCTAATGATATACGCACTAATACGCAACTCACCACGCACATCACATCACAACACACTAACACACACCATCACACACCATCATTATTAAAGCTCAAACATATAGGAATAGTAAAGTCTTTTAATTTAAAAGCAATCTACCTTACAATGAGGTTAAGTTAATGTTGTCTTTATTTTCTAACATTTTCATAAATGAATGTGCTGTTCTTTTTTGAGAGTGTTGCTAATATGTGATGTAATATTGTTTATGTGGTGAAATGATATAAAGTGCTAAGTTTTGTTGTTCAGTTTCTTCGAAAACATAATCATGGTTTCGTGTTGTAGTTGTAGCCTTTCTGTGTTCACATAGTAGAGTGAGTAACAATAAATATTTGGCGCCAGGATATATAAATATTGTTAATTGCATAAAACTTTTGTGAATTACAAACATCACACCACTTTGTTGCAGGGCAGCGTGCTGTGCAAGGAAAAAACTGATTGAGGTAGTTGTGCAAACGTTAATTGTTGTAGTTGCAGAATAGTACTGTGCCTGCTCATGTGAGTGTTGTGTTGGGTGAGATCACATGAAGATGAGATTTCCCAAACAGAATCTACAGATTTAATTTTTTGTCTTAGACACATATATTCTCAATCATAACAAATCAAAAACCGTACTCATGTTCACATTATTTGTAAGATCATTTGTCATAATCAGCGGACATGCTTACTTATTCACATTTACCTCAGTCATAACACAATACGAAATGTGAGTATATGATTCTAGTTCCTATGATTAATTATATATCCCAACGGTAAATGTCTAATATGAACTGTACAGACTGTATAGACCAAACCAAGGGTGTGTTTGTAGGCAAGTTACCCTAATTCTGCTCAAGTGTTATTGCCTATACTTATTAGTTACCTACGTATATATGATTTCGCTTCGATAAACTCTCTTGACTCTTGTGTGACTACAACGACCCACAAAACCACACACCCGCAGACAATCAGCAAGTTTCCTTCACTACATAATATGACCAAAGGAAATAATAAAATAAAACTCAAGTAGATTGGATATCCTTTGTATATAATAAAATAAGTATAAATAGATTAAAAAAGTAAATAGATAAGAAGAGGAAAAAAAAAATCAGACTCTGCCTTCGACGTTTCTTGCTGCCTTCAAAGTTCCTCCTTGATCAATCTATTTGTATTGGGTATATAGTCGACAAGGGAATGTCTTTCATACCCCAAAGTGTCCCTTTTTCTACTGAAATAATTCACCATGGGTTAACCATATACTAATATGTTGTCTTTGTCAGAGTTAGTTGCCAATTATCATTAGGATCTCAAGTATTTTTGTTTTACATGAATAACAGGCATGGATTCTCATTTTTAAAAATCT